CCTTCTGGCAGTAAAGGGATCCTCAAGGTCAAGAACTTGTTACTACAATTTTAGTTACATCATTTCAAAGGCCTTGTTGTGTCTTTGGGGAAGGAGATGGGTTGGCTTATTAGGGGCTTTGTTGGCCCACCTCTGGCTTTACTAGGCAGGAAGAGCTTATAGACATGTTCTTCACCATTAGTTTACCAGTTTAGAGCTTTTTCTAGTTCGACAGGGATCAGTATTACAATCAGGACATTTTCATGTTGGAGTATTCAATGCATATCTTTCAATCACCTCAGTTGATAGATGAAGGCCTGCAGTGGTTCAGAAGGCTATGCACCGTGATTCCGCTGGTTAGCCCTGCTGTTTTATTGGTGATCTTCATGTTATTAGTAATTTAGGTCTGGTTTTCCATTGGACTCATAGAATCATAGGGTTGGACAAGACTTTGAAAAGTCATCTGTCTACCTCATCCATTCCCTACCCCTGGCACATTTGAATGTAGATGAAGATATGACCAGCATTGCCACATGGGCTTCTCCTCTTGGTCTGTCTCCTTTGAAAACCAGACACAGATGTGAGTGATCACTGTTACAAATGAGAGGGGACTTGTGCCCCAGACCTTCAGGCATTGTTGTTGGGGAAAAAGAGTTGACATGGGCCACCAAACTTGTCTATTTGAATCTTATTTTTTTAAAATCACAATTTAATTCCCTTTGGAATATAAGTGGAAGTCAGTACATCCAGTTGCCTTGAGGGATAATTAATTATGTCCCAGCTTCACTCTTCTGGTTCCTCCTAGGGTGAAACTAGGCTTTGACATGTGAGCTGATTAATTGGCTGTAGTCCCGTGACAGATGGTAGCTGGAAACATAATCTCAGCTTTTCCATTTCTTTGCCAAGGGTTCACACAGTCCAGGTGACATCCTAAGTGTTGGTGACATTGATAGATCCAGATTCTTTATTTTGAGATCTACGGATCATGTAACACTGATTTGGTATATGGAGGGGATTCCACTTGCCCCGGAGATGTTACCTAGAGTACCATCTAGTCCAAGATCTCTTTACCTATCCCAGCTTCTTCTTGTGGAGGAAGACTGATGACTGGCCATTTCCAGCCTGTGTGATCTATTTTTATCTTCCTTCTGTGCCTGCATTTTCTTTTAAAAATGAGTTATACAGATTCATTCCTTTAACTCCAGTGCAAACTCCATGAGATCAGGACCTATACCCATACCTGTGTCATTTACTGCAGAATCCCCATAACAGTGGCCACTAGAAAATGCCTTCATAAGTGAGTAGATACTTGTTGAATGATTGGGGAATGAACTGAATGAATGAGTCACATAAGCAACTGACTTATATAAGCTTTGCTTGCGGACACATAGAAGATGTTCACCTTGAAATATACTCAAAATTGACCTCTCCGGTCCTCCTTCCCTCCCTGCCCTCCTTCTACAATTATTGAACACCTGCTTTATGCCATGCACTGCACTTGACCCTGGAGCTTAGTGGCTCCTGCTCTCATGAGGTCTAAAACCTAGTAGATGAGATTGACAAACAAATCAAAGGTATAAGTCCTTGTGGTTAGAGTTATACAGAGGGTCCTGTGGGCTGTTCAGCGAGATTAGGGAAGCATTTTCTCAGGTTATGTCACTAAACTCACTTTGAAGGACAAGTAGGAGTTAACTAAGGGAGGGAGGCATGACCCAGACCCAGGACCAATACACAGGTCAGATAATGAGACCGTCTTGTCGTTGGCCCGCATGACCGGGCTGTGAGCATAAAAGAGAGATCTGTGGAGAACGTTCTATCCCTGGGCAATCACCGTCTATGTTATATAAAATATTGTTAGTTAGATAAAGATTCTAAAATCTGCAAATTACCTGGCAAGCCTCATACTATTCTCTCAGGTAAGTGCCGAAAATGTCAGTGTCATAATAAAATAAAAGCCAATTTCATTTGTTTGATCTCTGTTAAAGCCAGTAGAAATGATTTATTGATTTTTTTAAAGAAAAACATATTTTTAAATGCCACTTTTTTTTTATCAGCAACTTGTTAATAGATGTGGAGTTCTCATATACCCCAAACACACTTCTAGTTAGAAAATGTTAACAGTTTTGAGGAAAATCAATGGAATAATCAGAAAACTCATGAAAAGGTGAACAAAGAGCAAAATAATTTCATATCATGCAATCAGTGTTATTATTATTTTTAAAATATGTTTTTATTGATTTGAGAGAGGAAGGGAGAGAGAGAGAGAAAAATATCGATGAGAAACAGATCCACTGACTCCTGCATGCCCCCTGCTGGGGATTGAGTCTGCAACCCTGGCATGTTCCCTGACTGGGAATCAAACCTGTGACGTCTCGATGCATGGGCCAACACCCAACCAACTGAGCCACACTGGCCAGGGCTATTATCAGTATTTTTAATGTTGATGACAGTGTTTGTTTGACGCACAGTCAGCTGGATGGGCACTTTGAATAGTTTCTCTTTTTTTCCTTTGAGACATGAGGATGGACGTAGAAGTGAGGAAGGAATCTTCCACACCTCTCCTACTTTGTCCTCTTAGGATCTGTGAGATAGATGCCAGGCTGCATGTGTCTCCAGGGGGCGAAACCCACTCAGGTGACTGTGGCCGTGTGGGGAAGAACATGGGCTCTGAAATGGGAGTCGTTTTGTTCCCATTTCAGTCCTAGCCATAGGCTGTGTGACCTTGAACAAGTTGTTTTTGTGTGTGTGGTTTTTTTTTTAATCTCTGTGCCTTAGCCTTTTCGAATGTAAAATGGGGAACATGTAAACTAGTAAAATGGTTTAACTCTATCTCTTAGAGTTAAATGTGTGGATGGAGCATTTAGAACAAATGTCTGATACATAGTAAGACCCCATAATGGACAACTGTTCTCGTTTCATTCCTGCATGATACCGGGAAAGAATCTATGACACTATCTTACAGCCCTGTGGTGGCCATCTGAACAGAGGGTGGGTGGAAGGGACTCCTGAAACCTCCATTTGAGCAGGAAAGATGGTGTTTAAACCATTCTTTGGAGATGGATGTTTATGCTACTCCTACAGCTCTTTAGGGAATGAAATTACCTCTCGCTTTCACTAGCCTAATTCAGTGTCTGACAACTTTTCTCACTCTGGAAGTTTTTCTTCCTGTGTGGCTTAATTACCTGTTGTTGCAGCTTCAGTTTGGGGTGAAGGAAAGGCTATGGGTCTGACTCTGAGACACAGGGTTGGTCTGCTGAAAACCTCTTGGGTTGGACTCAAGCATTGCCTGTCAGCAGACTGGTGCAGGCTCAGGTATGGCACCTCTGAGGGCCCGGGGGCTCTGTGTGCACGTCTGCAGGGCTCCAGGACGGAAGATGGATGGCAGGGCAGGTGGTAGTCAGCCAGCACCCAGTTGTAACCTGAGCAGCTTCACGAAAGATTATGCTTTCTCAGCCGCACGAAAGATTTCACCGGGAGACAGAGCTCCACAGATAAAAGAGAAATTTGAAAACCTGGAGGCCAGTGTATGTCCCCAACAAGCCACCTGATGTGACCTGTCACTTGGCAGCTGACTTTGTTGCTTCTGGTCTCAGCTCCTCTGTGCTGCCTGTTTGAAAGTGGCAACATCTTGTGTGCTTGTGTGTGTGTATGTGTGTTTGTGTGTGTGCTCTCACTTGCATGCTTCTTTGTTCAGTGATGGTAGGAGGGTAAATGGAAAGATTTACAAGGAGAGGAACTTTATAAATTCAAGACATAGTTATTATGAGAGTGGAAAAGGCCCCCTTTAATAAGGTTGAGGGAATAATCTCGACCCAGCCTGGTCTAGGGTTTTTATCTCTAGCCTGTATGATAGGGCAGCAGTGATTGAAGCCCAAGGTTGAGAGAGAAACCATTTGGCACACCCCCACCTAATCAAATAGGTTTCGAGGGACATGGACCAAAGTAAAGGGAGTGGACACAGGTTGTGCACAGGAAGATTTATGTCCTCTGGGCTGAGCAACAACAGGCTTGCCAGACCTTCCCTCCTATCCCTGTCCTGGGTGTATGTCCAGGGAAAGGGTTTGATCTCAGAACACTACCTCCTCACCTGACAAACTGATTGGTGTCCTGATTTTTAAGTAATGGCCTCAGATGATGGCCTTGGAGCATGAGAAGGTCAGAAGAAAACTCTCCTGCCAGCCTGACTCCAGGGCATGAGTCTCAATCTCCTCCCTCGAGATGCAGCAAGAATGGACTGTGGGAGAGGGAGAAGGCTGTCTCCTAAGGCAGTGGCGACCCAAAAGTCATGACAAATGGCGAGATTCCTGTGCACACTGGGATATAAACTTCTCTTCGGATTGATCCATGGTCTTGCCTGCTGGGAAGCGGTTACTTTAATGGAGAGGTTAGGCTGAGGACAGCCTTGATTCTGTGGGAGATACTCTGTTGGGCACTTTGCATAGTTACCTACCTTAGTCCTCACCACCAGCCTGCGAGGGCAAGTCTCCATCATACAGATTGGGAGCCTGAGGTTTTGAATTTAGAGGACTTGCTGATTATTGGTGGAACCAGAGTAAAAATTTATACATGATTTATTTTAAGACATGAGAGAGGCAGAAACCAGATCCCTTCCTGCTGCTAAAAATTGGCCTGAAAGTAGCTTTACATAGAGCAAATTTGCCTTAACAGACTAACCCTGTCCCTTAGATCTGCAGCTGAAATGCACATATACACACACAAATCACAAAGACTTCTTTATTCAAATTTTTTGCCAAACCAGGAGCAACTGTGGATCACTTGAAATGATGCCCTGGTCATCCCAGTTCCATCTTTCTTTCACCTCGAACACAGGTCACAGCAGACTGTCCCTTTGCTGCTGAGCCACGCTTCTTACAAGGGCTCCCTGCCCCTGAATGAATGAATGAATGAATGAATGAATGAATGAATGAATGAGTGGTGGATGGTGGTGGCAGAGGGACGACGCCTCCCTGAGGGGTGACCTCGCCGTCCCCCCGCCTCCATCTGCTGTCCTCTCTTCCCAGGGTGGCATGATCGCCCTGCTGCTGTCCATCCTGTGCCTGGTGATGATCCTGTACACTCGCCGCCGCTGGTGTAAACGCCGCCGGGTCCCCCAGCCCCAGAAGAGTGCCAGCGCCGAGGCGGCCAACGAGATCCACTACATCCCGTCCGTGCTGATCGGCGGGCACGGGCGGGAGAGCCTGCGCAACGCCCGCGTGCAGGGCCACAACTCCAGCGGCACCCTGAGCATCCGCGAGACGCCCATCCTGGACGGCTACGAGTACGACATCACCGACCTGCGCCACCACCTGCAGAGGGAGTGCATGAACGGGGGCGAGGACTTCGCCAGCCAGGTCACTCGCACCCTCGACTCCCTGCAGGGCTGTAACGAGAAGGCCAGCATGGACCTCACGCCAGGTGCGCGCCTTGGTCCCTGTTTCGGGGACCTAGGGGCCAGGTAGGGAACAGCCGGTTTCCCATGGCATCGCTGGCTGTTGTGCATCGTGGGATGTGCAGGTGCCCTTTCCCAGGTGGGCAAGACGTGACAGTGAGGGCTGTTTTCTAACATAGGGCGTCAGTTTGGGTCCTCTCCACCTCCACTGTGCGCTGGAGCCATCCTCGGGGAAATAAGGGGAAAGCAAGCAAGGTCAGCACGTGCGTGTGGTGCTTGTAGGCTTCTTTAGGCAATTTAATTTTCCATTGAAGCGGAGGGGATGGAGGTTTCTATTCTTTTCTCTGGTTCTGGAGACTAGCAGGGGGTGGGGTGGCTGTGATGTCTTGCTCATGGCTTTGTGGTCTATACAAGGGATGTATTTCTTCAAAGATAAGGAAGGAATGCAGCCAGGCTGTCTGACCTCAGGCACGTTGTGTGTCTATGAGACATGGGTGGAAGGGATTTGGACCTGACATAGCTGACCAAGACCAGGGTCAACCAAATGCAGAGAGGAGATGACTGTCCTTTCCGTTTACAGTAGCCTCCCTGTCTCTCTCTTGACTTTCTATGAAAAAGCGACTCCACACAGGTAAAACCCCAAGACAGGGTCCTTCAAAGAATCCTCCATCATCTTTGAAGAAGACATTTTGATACTGAATATTGCTTTATGCGGACTTTCGCTGGGCTTGAAAGGAGGGAAATCCCATCATATAGGTTTCCCTTCTGCTTGTTATCAGGAAGAGGGCCTATGTGAATGGCCATTTCCTGCTAAGATTTCAATCTGGGATCTCCTTCAGAACAGGGGGCAAGTCGTCAATGTCCCAGGTTCCCCGGAGCACCTGGCCCAGTGCTCAGCCCACCAGGTAGCCAGGTGCTACTCAGGGGTTACAAAGTGGATTGCATTCAGCAAGCAGGCAGATGGCATAAACCTGTGAACAAGCTGGATGTCCGTGATAGGGACTGGTGCAGACTGTGGTGAGGAGAGGGCATGTTCTGTGAACGCCCCATTCTACAGTCTGTACCTAATCAAAGGGCCACACTTGGTGACCCCATCAACACAGAATGAGTTGAATTGGCTTTTCAGTTGGACTCGCTCTTCCTTCCCTCATCTCATAACTCTGTGGTCCCCTAGAAATTAAAGCATTTCTGTCTCTGCCAACCTTTCACTTTAAAGGTTCCTTATTTTAATTCTGTGAAAACTCCATTTACTTGGTTTATGCAGATTCCCTTGCTCTCACTTTCTCTGGCCTTTTCTCTCAAAGTTCTCTCCTTGACTTTTCCGTAACACAGGGAGTGACAATGCCAAGCTGTCGTTGATGAACAAGTACAAAGATAACATCATCGCCACCAGCCCCGTGGACTCCAACCACCAGCAGGCCACTCTGCTCTCGCACACCTCCAGCAGCCAGAGGAAGCGGATCAACAACAAAGCGAGAGGTACCCGAGTCTGATGTTGGGGCGTGCAGGTAGACTCCTTCGTATCGGCAGAGGCAGGGCCCTTAGTATCTGTGACCCCCCCACACTCACGCATTTCAAGAGAGGATGTTTTTTTGTCACAGTCTTTTTGGGAGCCTGTTGAGTATGACTTACCAAAAAACTCAAATGTTCAAACCTAATGACCAAGTAATTTCATCAACAAGAATTTACCCTTAGGAAACAATTGGACAGATATGCAAAGATGGGTGTCAAAGGCTCTTCATCACACTGTTTAAAAGCAAGAAAGATTGGCAATGGCTTCAGTGTCCATCAGAGGGAACTGGTTGACTGCCCGCACATCTGTCCAGTGGCCAACCACACAGCCATTTACGATGGGAATAGAGAGCTGTACTTGTTAATTTATGGAAAGTTGCCCACCCATCTATTAAGTGGAAAAAAAAATGAGGTTATAAAAGAGGAGGTACAGCGGAATGCCATTTTTAAAAGGAGATTAAAAAATGTTTATCTGTTTTTTTAATCAGAAAAAGGCAGAGAATATATACATCAAATGTTAATACAGTTTTGCTCTGATTTAAAAGATTTAGGGGACATTAGCGTTGTTCCCTCTACATATTTTTGTGAATTTATATTTACTATGTTCTCTCTTTTTCACATTGAATATATATAAATTCTAGAACCAGAAAAAAAATATATACTGTCCTATAGATATTATGGCATGTAGACATATGACCCTTTAGACAGAATTCCAGCCTCACATCAACCAGAAGCATGACCTGTAATGAGGGAAGTTTCCCTTGTTTCCTTTCCACTCACCATCCACAGCGGTCCTGTCGAGCAGGTAGCTGTCAGGAATGGCCCTCCTTGGTAGGAGCGTGAGCTGGGTGGAGGTAGGGCTCTAGTGATTGGTGTCATATAAAAGTCTATTTCTCCAATAAATCTGTATCTCAGGAAGCTCTAATCCCATGGCTCCTCCTTCCAGATTGTCAGCCAACCTGCTCTCGTTTTTACTGATTTTTCTCTTGAACTTGCCCAATAATTTGGTGTCATCATGACAAGACTGAAGATGTTGTCTTTGCCATGGTCCTGTTCATTACAGCTGGTTCTGCCTTCCTGAACCCTGAAGGGGATTCTGGCACAGAGACAGAAAACGACCCCCAGCTGACCTTCTATACTGACCCCTCGCGGAGCCGGAGACGCAGTAGAGGTAGGAAGGAGGGAGGGGCAAAGTGGGGGAGAGGGGCCCTGGGGAGGGAAGGGCAGGGAGCTGCAGAGGTGCTGGGTCCGGCTGTGGGCTCCCTGCACCAAAGCCAGTTTCTGCGGGAAAGATTCTTGGACTATAAATGGTGTTCCGTCCTAAGGAAGAAAGAAGAGCCTAGAGTGGAACATTCAGAGAATCATCTCTCCCAGATAATGGCACTCTCAAACAGGTTTCCAAGTTGTTTGAAAGGCTATTTCTTGGTCAGAAGACTCTCAATTCCTTCTGGAAGCCTCAGGAGTCCTATTTTGCTGTTTAGAGACAGGAAATAAAGTTGATAAAGTGTGTTATATGTGAAAAAATAGACCAGGAGATGAACCCTTGCTTACCCAGCCCAGTGGCCTTAGGATTGGGTGAGGCAGGGATGGGTGTGGGCAAGGTAATTGAGGAATAATCTATGGCCTGAAAAATGTGTGTAATGGTATTTGCCCTTTAATCTCCTCCCCAGTAGAATCACCGAAGCCCATGCTTCCTGTTCCCTCCTTTCCCCTGGCAGGGTCCAGGTTACTTCATTTATTCTGTTCAGCATCAATAGGGTTGTCCCTCCATGCACCCACTGTCAGTGCCACTCCACCCTGATGTTTAGTGGCTTCAGATGTGGCTACTTCACCTGTGGCTGCTACTTCCTGTGACTTGGGGGTATCACCATTCTCACTGAGGGAGGTCTGGGTTCAAGCACCAGTCAGCTTCACCATTTACTTGCTGTGTGATATTGTATAAGAACTAGTTCTCTGAGCCTCAGTGTCCTCACATATTAAATGGGTTAACAATAGCTCACAATAGGGCTACTGTCAGAATTAAATTGTATTAATACGTGCTTTTTTGGTTACTGGCAAAGGACTGAAACTCCTATTGTTGTTGCTATTAGAACTCTCCACTGGGCAGCCTCAGGTTTACACAACACTCCATCTGAAAGAACATTGGACAGAGGCCCCTTGAGATACAATGGAATATATTTGAGTGACACCAAACTCTATTATGCTCAATAGAATTTTCACCAACCAATAATCAACCGATGCCCCCAAAAAGACAGCTACATTTTGGCCCCTCCTGCCTCCTGGAACTTGAGTTCCTTTCACACTAAGGGCTTTCTTCCCAGAGGTTGGAAGAAGCCCTTTTAATTCCTCACTTCCAGGTTCTGTAGGCTTTGCGGTGATCAATACAAAACTTCTTCCTACCATTTTCTTGAGAGATCGATGGGGCTCTGGGCAGTGTCTGATGCCCCAGTATCCCTGGGGTGAGAATGCGGGCCCTCTGGTCCTCATTACATGTTCATATACAGGAAATAGTCAACCGAGGCTCATCAGCCCAGGCCATACCAAGCAGGGTGTGCTCTGCTTTAATAGAATCCTGTTTAAGAAAATCCATAGTAATGAATTAGAGTGAGTTTCTCTGCAGCAGAAAACTATTTCTTTTAAATACTAAGCTCTCCTAGTATGTCAACTACTGCTGTTAACTAGACGGTCAGCTTCTTAGGGATGGGCATGTCTAATTTATTTTTCCAAAGTGCCTTGTGGAGGATTTTGCCTGTGATGGATGCTTGGAAGTGTTTGTTGAATTGAACTGGATACATCAATCAGGCCAGCAGCAAGAAATTTCATAACCTACCTGCCATGGGTCAGGCTTTGTGATGGGTGGTAGAAACATGAAAACGTGGCATAGTGATAAGTCTTAATTTAATAATATAAATAAAGGAAAATGAGTACTCAGAAGCAAGAACAGTTCATTCTACCTGGCAGCAATTGGAGGCAAAAAAAGAAAAAAAGAAAAATAATTGCACCTGGGTTATGTACAATACAAAGAATTTATTGAAAGAGGAGAATCTAGGCTAAGGGCATTCCAGTAGAGGAAAATGACATATAAAATGCCCTAAAAGCACAAAAGAACAGGATATTTTCAAGCAAGTAAAAGTACTTCAGCCCTGGCCAGTGTGGCTTAGTTGCTTGAGTATCAGTCTGTGCTCCAAAAGGTTGCTGGTTCGATTCCTGGTCAGGGCACATGCCTGGGTTACAGGCTTCATCCCCGGTAGGGGTCGAGCAGGAGGCAGCTGATTGATGTTTCTCACATCAGTGTTTCTCTCTATTTCTCTCTCTCCTTCTCTCCTCTCTCCTTCTTTCCTCTCTCTCTTCTCTCACTCTCTCAAATCAATAAAAACACATTTTTAAAAAAGTCTTTCAATATGGCAACTTAACCCACAATCTGAATAAACAGCAGGATGGGGCTGGGAGCGGGCTGGCTAACGAAGGACCACACACATGCTGTTACCGAGCCTGCACTTGGCTCTGGAGGTTGTAGGGAGCGACTGCAGATTTCGAAAGCAGGTGGAGATACTGAGTGATGGTTGATGAAGCAGAAGAACTAGAGAGACAAGAAGATGGGTGGCCAGTTCCTGCCATCACACGAGAGCAGTGGCAAGTGCCCGTGGCAGTGATAACACCGTGTGAAAAGAGCTGTAACAGCAGGGCGCATGGAGGGCTGGAGGAACAGCAAGGAAGGAGTGAGAATTTGTTAAATGTTTCAGGGAAGTGTTTACAGGGAGCTGTTGTTGGAGCTGAGACTTGAGGAGCAGGTGTATACCGGGCTGACAAGGTGACGAAATGGCATTCTGTGGAGGAAGAAATGACATGTGCAAAGTCACAGACTTAAATGATAGCGGTCTAGTCAGAGAGCAGCAAATAGCTGACTAGAATGAGGCTTGTGGTGCAGGTCTGTGGTTTGCTTAGCAGGGGCTGGAAGGTCAGGAGGAAGCACATGACCTTGACTGTAGGACTGGGACCTGAGGCTCCAGCTGGAGCCATTGAAGGCTTTAAAGGACATCGCCCTGGTCCTCTCTGCTTGGCAGAGGATCCAGCCCTCTGGGCCAGTGTGGTGGGTAGGTGAAGGCGGGGGAAGTTGAGGCAGGGAGGCTGGGTGGCTAACTATTGCCATCATCTGGGTGTGGAATGATAAGCGTAAATAGGGAGGGAGAGAATGGAGCTGAGGGACTGCGTGGACACAAAATGAAAAATGGTTCAGTGGCAGCTGGAGGTGGGGAGGGTGGGGAGGAGTTGGACATGAGGGAGTATTGGGACTTGAGAAACCAAGTAGATGACAGTGCCATTCGCTGGGCAGTGGAAGCAGGAAGGGGAGCAGGTGTGAAGGAAGGCGGAGAGTCCAGTTTGGGATTTGCATTTGCGTGCCTGAGGAACATTCTGGTGGGAGTTCTGCTGCTCAGGCCTGGGCTGGGCTGGAGTCAGAATTTATAAGTGTAGGGAGATAGACTCTGTGCTTGAAGGATACTAACAGGAGCAGAGTATCTCCAGGTAGCCAGGGACAGAGGATCCAGAGGCTGCCTTCCACCCCGGAGTCTCTGCCCCCCAAGCCCCTGCCAACACACCCGCTCAGGGAACCTGCTCCTATAATGGATGGTGCAGCCATGGACCCAAAGACTGGGCTGTTGCCAGGGCTGTAGCCTTGGCTGGACCTGTGCTTTAATCCAGGCTCCACTCAGTAGTCCCTTGACCCTGGACCTGCCCTGTAGCCTCTCCAACTCACTGTTCCTCCGGTGACACTGCCTCATGAGATGTGGTCATCATCAGATATGAACCATGAGACCCTGGGCCCTGGTGCCTAACCCCTGATTATACTTTGTCAGTGTTACCTGTCACTATGAGGTTAATCTCTTCGAGACCTGTTCTTCCTGCCTGTAAGGTGGGTAGCGACTGTGCACGCATAGATTTATTGTAAAGGAGTATGTATTCAAAATTTCAAAAAGTATGTAAAACAGTACACCGTCAGACATAATAGAAGCCTTTTATTTCTATCAGTAATAAATATTAACACAGACCACAAGAAAGTTCCAAAGGACCCACCCGTTTTGTTGGCAACTCGCCTTGCTTTCCTCCTTTCCCACATCTGTTCTGCCTTTATGTGAAACCATCTCTGCCAGAACCAAAAACAAACAGAAAGCACACCAGGACCCTCCTTCCCCATCCCTGTCCCCAGCTGCCCGGGAGTGTTTCTGCTCTTTTCTCACTAAGCTTCCCCTTAGGACCTTACCCCGGTGACTGCGGAGAGCCTTCTGGTGGATGGCATCCTCTACTCATACAGAGCAAACTCCCCCCAGTTCCCTCCTTCCAGACCCTACAGAGCAGGGACTCCCACCCACCCAGGAGGTGCAAGCTCCTCAAGCTTGGGAAGTGGAGCTGGTTTGGGAAAGCGCCCCCTGTGGACAGCTGTGGGAAGTGCAGGGATTAAGCAGAGTCCTGCCACCCTAGGGCAGGAGGTTGGAGCTCAGCCAGGAGCAGACAGGGAGAACTCCCTCCTTTATTGTTTCTCTTGGGAGCCTGGCTCAGGGAGACTGCAGATGACTGCACACCACTGGCCATTGTTGACCCTGAGGGCCACCAGCAAGCCAAGTCCGCCCTGACTCCAACCGATGACGCGGTGTTCCCTGGGAACGAATGTCACTGAGGTCGCGTCGCTGCACACATTTGCTGCCTGCCTTTGCCGGCTGCCTCCTCTGTTTGCTGGGCTGGGCTGGGCAGGAGAAGACCAAGTAGGCCTTTCACGGAAAGATTTTTACCGCCACACCTTTTGCCTGTGTCTTGCTTTCAGTGGGCTCTCCCCGAAGTCCCGTGAATAAGACCACCTTGATGTTGATCAGCGTCAGCAGCTGTGTGATCGGCCTGGTGTGCTCCTCGCATGTCAGCTGCCCTCTCGTCGTCAAAATCACCCTGCACGTCCCCGAGCACCTGATCGCTGATGGTGAGCCCACTTCTGAATGCAACTTCCCTCCCAGTGAGGAAGGTTTCGGGTTGGGCGAGAGGATCTAGAGAAGCCAGGGGTCACGCTTACCTGTGACTATAGGTGAGAGGAAAAAAAACATGGATAAATGAGGCTAGGACAAGGATTGTCCACACATGAAATCGAAAAGCAGGTTAAAAAACTGGACTGATCCCTTCTTCTCTAGGCCCACTCTGTTTCCCATTTCTGCTGTTTATCAGTAAGCCCCTATGTTTATAGAGAAATGCAGAGCATCCCAGATGCAGGTAGGTAGCCACTGAGAGTCTCGTAGCCTCTGGGAGGGGAGAAGCCGAGTCGAGTGGCTGAGGTGATTCAGAATCAGCCGTGCCTCAGTTTGGCATGCCCTGGTGAGAAATTCCTAATTGTAGTACCTTATTGTAAGCATAGAACTCCATAGCAGTAATTTACTTTAATCCAGGGGGCCCCAATGTGATGAAGGAGTAATACAGATCCTGAGAGCCCCCGAATTACACCCAGAGCACCTAAGTGACTTGCTGGAGTCTGTTTTCTTGGCTGTTGTAGGCTGATAGGAAGTAGGGACTGTCCATGCTGTCAGAGGGCCTGCTCTTCAATGGCAAGTGAAGATAGGCATCAGGTCCTTGTCCTTAGATGAGTGCCAGGGCCTGTGGCCAGGTCTGATGGAGCAGTGCCATGGTCATCCCAGAGCTGTTCTGCCCCTCTGTCCCTTAGACCCACCCTGGAAGGCTTGAGATGGGGCAAGGTAGCAGGGAGCAGTGTGGTGGGAGTTTGAAGGGATGGCCGAGCCTCCATCTGCTGGCACTTTTCCTGGGGGCTCATGATGGCCCAGGACTAGTAGGAGGAATGGCCTTGGATTGGAGGTAATCTGCAGAGAGAATGTGTATATGTGGGTTTTTTATATGTTTGTTTGTGTGTTTGTGTGTGTGTGTTTGTGTGTAGTGTGCACTGAGGGGCATGCCTCGTCTCTTTTCCCCTGCAGGGAGCCGCTTCATCTTGCTGGAGGGGAGTCAGCTAGATGCCAGTGACTGGCTGAACCCTGCCCAAGTGGTCCTCTTCTCTCAGCAGAACTCCAGTGGGCCCTGGGCCATGGACCTCTGTGCCCGGCGGCTCCTGGACCCCTGCGAACACCAATGCGACCCCGAAACTGGTAGGCGGGAGCGCCGGGCAGCGGGTAACTGTCAGAGATCATGCCTCTTGCAATCACCCCCTCGAAACCCAGGCAGTTCCTCTGGGTTGTCCCAATGCTGTTGGGAGCCTAGACCGTGCGAGCTGGCAGCATGGGTGGGCCCTGAGCATGATGGCTTCAAAGGCAGGTCATCTTTTGGCAGAAGCCTGGGGAGCCTCCTAATTGTAGCCATTCGCCAGACAGGTCAGTTTTGGATGACCCCCATAGCTCATTCGCTATCCAGCTGCGATGTCAGCTAGACTTTTTATGCACATTTGTTGTAGAAAATTGGGAAAATCTGGAAAAGCTTATAGAAGAAAATGATGATCATCTATAATTCTGGCTCCTGCAGAAGCCATTAAAAAATGTTTGTCTCCTCCCCTCCATCCTTTATCGGTGCACGGCGTTTAAAGGCCTGCGGGTCACCAAGTTCAGTAGCTTTTTCTTGATCCTGTTTCATTTATGCTATCAGGAGAGTTTTCCAGAACATTAAATAATCCTCAGTAATACGCTGTTAGTGGCCGTTGGTATTCTACTGCATGTGTATGGTATAGCTCATTTAAATAATTCTCTTACTATTTGAAAATTTAGACTGCTTTCAGTTCTTAATTTCTATAAATACTACCAAAGTGAATGTCTTTCCACAGAAACGCAGGACACGGCTGAAGTTATTTTCTCCCGATAAATCTTCAAAGAGGGACACAGGGCCAAAGGGCATAGACACCTTTCAGGCCGTTGCATTATCAAGTGGGGCTGGGGCTTCTCTGAGAGTGTCCACATTCAGACACGCCATACACAGGGACACTCGGCACCTCTCGAGTGCCAAGATGTCAGACAGTATGGGTCCCTCATTCCAGGTGGCTTTGCATTTCACTGTGGAAGGGGGCGTCTACAGACATCTCTAGAAAGATCTGTTTCCAGTAGATTTGGCACCGCAGAGAGAGTCTTCCCAGAGAAGTAGCGTGATGCCTTAGAACAAAGGAAGGAGATATAGTGACATCTAAGACCCTCAAGTGAAATATTGCTGGAGTCAGGGGCCAACTCCTCCAGCTCTCTGTACCTCACATACAGCCCCTCCTACACACACACACACACACACACACACGTACACGCACGTAGATGAATCTATTTTAGGTGCTGGGATGGAGGTCGAGTCCTTGCTTCTGTTATAGTCCATTACTCTGTCTCTTGGGGGGAGCAACAGGTCACTGCAACATCTAAAGTTCACATTCTTGGGTCTAAAAGTTTTCACGTGGGCCCGTCGCAGAGATTCCAGGCCCCCATATGGAGGAGAGAGTACAGCATTTTGAACATCTGATGTCTAAGGCTGTGCTTACTTGCTGCTCTTCCCACGCTGTCAGGCAAACACCAAACCAAACAGATGGGCTGTGCACCAGGCCCAAACCCAGTGTGCTTGGGAGAAAGAAAAAAGAGCTCATCTCAGAGGTGGGGCCTCTCTGTGCAACTGAGCCAGTCTCTGCCCCTTCCCCCGCTGACTTGAATGATGAGACCCAGGGACAGTCTCAGTTGTTAAACTCACATCTGGGGGAAGCATTGATCTCCAGAGGGCCTTGGAAGCTTCTGCTGAGGTTTCCAAGAACAGGAAGCACTTTTAATTACATGTGGAAAGAAGGGATCGGTGTTTGTACCTTGGAGGAACCTCAGAGATGAACTGCCTCCTTACTTCAGATCAATATTTGAATTCCCCAGGAAGGCACATGACTTGCCCAAAGTCCCACAGCAACCCTTGGCAGAGTCTGTGTTCTATCCACCATGAAATCAGAGCAGAGGTGGGGTTATAAAGGGTCGCTTAATTTCCCCAGGCATGTCAGATCCAACAAGTGTGTCATTCAAAACTACATAAGTAACTACATAAGTTACTGATCATCACTGTTTCCTTAGCCAGGAGCTCAGGGAGCCGATTGTCCATGGTGAGGCTGCCATCCCATCTTCAGTCCCTCCCAGATGTCCCATTTCCAGTCCTTGCTGAAACTGACTTTGGGAAGCCCCTCCTCTGCTAATGGCTTCCCAGTCTCCATGACAATTAATGAATTTCCAACTGGAAAGCCTTAGAGGAAGACTAAAAGTAAGAAGTCAAACCCCACAACAGAGCTGAAGCACAGCACCTTCATTTGGGGTAGCAGCTGAGAAATGATGGCATGGAGACTTTTATTTTCATTAATGCTGGAATTAGAAACCCTCCCTCTTCCCGCCTTGCTTCTCTCGGCACGTGGAAGGATGTGGTCATCCCACGTGCTCATCAGTAAGAAATTTTATCGCCTCCCACACTCCATCCTAGAGCCTTTCTCCGAAGCGCCGAGTGTGGGAATTGGCTGTGAGTCAAGTTGACGTTATTTTTGCAGCCCTCCAGCTAACTCACTTGGAAATGTCATAGTGTTGGGACATGTGCTTTCCCAGCCATGTGGAGGAGTCCACCCATATGAATGTGTTGTACTGTGCAAGTGCACATGTATACTTTTTCATACACACAAACAGACGCTCAGTTTCTGCAAAGGAGCCACCTCTGGTGCCCGGAGCTTTCCTTGGGCATCCTTCCAAAGTGTTCCAAAGTTGAGCATGACCTTCACAGTGGTCTGAATACCAGGTGTGGTAGGCTGAATAACACGCCCCCGGAGATGTCCATGTGCTTACCCCCAGGTTCCATGAACATGATATGTTACATGGAAAAGATGAATTGAAGTTGCAGATGGAATTAAGGTTGCTAAACAATTGGCTTTAAAATAATGAGAGTATCCTGGATTAACCAGGGGGACCCAATGTCATCACAAGGGTCCTTAAAACTGGAAGAGGGAGGCAGAAGAGGAGGCCAGAGTGATGTGATATAAGCAGGAGCCCACCAGCCATCACTGACCTTGAGGATGGAGAGAGGGGGCATGAGCCAGAGAATGTGGGTGCCCACTAGAGGGTGGGACAGGCAAGGAAACGGATTTTCCCCTAATGCCTCCAGAAAGGAACATGCCCTTTAGACCCCTTGATTTTAGCCCAGCGGGACTCGCATCAGACTTCTGACCTACAGAACTATAAGATACTGAATTTATNAAGCAGGAGCCCACCAGCCATCACTGACCTTGAGGATGGAGGGAGGGGGCAGGAGCCAGGGAATGTGGGTGCCCTCTAGAGGGTGGGACAGGCAAGGAAACGGATTTTCCCCTAACGCCTCCAGAAAGGAACATGCCCTTTAGACCCCTTGATTTCAGCCCAGCAGGACTCGCATCAGACTTCTGACCTACAGAACTATAAGATACTGAATTTATGTCATTTTAAACCACTAAGTATGTGGTAATTTTTACAGCAGTTATGGAAAACTAATACACCAGGGAAAGAGAAAGAAAGTGTATTGTTATGTGACCCTTTCGCCCCCACCCAGTTTGTAAAGGGTGCTTACATAGACTTTCTAAAGATGTTTCTGGAGTCTGTGGGAGAACCTTTGCTGATCCATCTTCCATTCCAGCGTCCCTTTTCCATTCCAGCAACCATGCTATTGGGCAGGGGATGCAATGTACCTAGAGTTCCTAACTCAGTGCCTAGAAGCCCTTTGCCAACTGCACAATGACATTCTCTCCAGATGCTTCCAAGTTTGGAGCCCTAAGGTGTGTCTCCGCTCAAGTTGGGCTAACAGCAAACCACTAAGGTTATAAGGCTTAGTGCCCAACTGGATCCAGCCAGAGGTTGACTTTTCCTGTACTTTCTAAGGGTTTTGTTGTGACTATATGTTAGTTTGATTGTTTTTGATGGCGACACCAACTGATTTCGGTGACTTTCCTCTGCACTCCATTCCTGGCCTTAGTTCCGCCATGTGGGCAGCTGTGGAGGCTTCACACACCTGCTTGATTTCACAGCCCCCGTCAATCCTGGCCACGGACCCTCATTCCCATGTCAAGATGTGTAGGTTTATGGATCTGCAAGGAGCAGGCCTTCCAAACTAAACCAATTTTTTATCACCACCCAAGATGTTCCCCCAAATTTCTTTTGTCCCAGACTTTCCATAGCCCAGTCCTAACCATGTAAAAATGTATAAAATGTGATGAGCGCCGTTGGACCAGTTCTCCAGACTCACTTTACCCCTCCTCCCTCCGTGCTCTGAACACAGCGCCTCTCCTTCCCTAGCTTTCCCTAGTTTCTGAACCCAGTTTGGCCAGGTGGCACAGCCTCCGTTCTGTTCCTGTCACCTGGAGTGCCTGTTCACTCCAAACTCCTTTTTGTGGCTCAATTAAGATGCCTGCCTTCAGGATGTATGTCGGGATTATTGCCCTCTGTCTGCCCTCCCAGAGTCACGCAGGGTTTCTTGACTCTGGGCCTGGCTTTTGCCTGATGTCTCCACAGGGAAGGAGGCCAGACAATTAGATATTACCCAAATCCAGATGTCTTGCAAAGATTTCCCTTTTTAGGTGAAGCACACCCAATTCCATTTCATGAAAGCCATTAGCCACCTGAAGGAGAGAAGTGACTCAGAACCTTCAGTTTTGATCTGTATTTAACTCACGGAGGACTTGTGGTGAGCCCAGTCATGCCTGAGGAGCCCTAGCTCCAAGGTCTGTCTTTAAGCCTTCCATGAGATCTCTGCCTCAGTCCTCAACTGTAAGTGGGAAATGACGAAGGCACTGTCTATCACAGAAGGTCCTTGCTGTGTCTGCCTTCAGGGTACCAAGCACAAATCTGGGTAGCCATCTCCAGGCGGTGTACCGATCACCTCCTGGTGGGCTTCTACTCTCTGGCCATGTGGTTGCCTGTGAGCGCCTCCATCCTGGTTGGACACTTTTCCGTGGCCGTGACACCTCTTTCCATTGGATCCTATGAACACTGCCACGGAGTCAGCACGTCATGTGCTCCCCACCATCTGTCACAGCAGATGCCGAGACTGTAACACCTCTAGCTTAGGAGGGCATCCAACACCCTTGTGGGGTCTTTAAAATTCACAGCTAACAGTCTGGAGCCTGTGCCTGCACGAAAACTCTCTTAAAGTCAAGATTTCGCAGCGGGTTTCCATAGCAACTTTCCTCATCAAGTCTGATCTCCCTTCAGAGTATATGGCCAGACCAGTTCTGAGGAGGGATACAGAAGAGGAAAGTTTTGGTGGGTTCTGGAAAGGAAGACCATTTGAGAGGCAGATTTCAGATATCCTCAAACTCTAGCCTGATGTGTTTGAAAATTTCTCTATTGCTCTGCCTTTGAGCTGTGTATGACATTATGTGGAGAAAATCTTCATCTGTTGCCAGCAGTGAGTCCCCACATAGGAATGAGTAAAGGAAACCTCATAAGGAGATAATGACTATGAAGGCAATTCGAGGAAGGGAAATATGCCTACAAATGGCAGGAATTGGCATCATTAGGAAAATCAGGCTCTGCTTGAACTCCGAGTTGTTACTGCACTTATTTTTACATGTTTTGTGGTAACTAGGTATCAAACATGGAAGGAGGACTCTCATTTTTCTCAGTCCTTAATTCTAAGCAAGGCAACCAACCAAGGCCATTCTAAGAGTCAGAATAGAGTAATAGGGTTGACAACCTCTGTGGTTTCTTCCTGTTTTTAATATCATCTTACGTCCAGTGTCCACGAGGACAGTTGAGAAATGATCTCCTTCAGGAACAAGCATAGCTGGGCCCTTGACCCACTGACTGGCTTAGATATCTGCATCTTAGGCTGAGGTGGTAGTGGTGTTATCTATAAATTTAGGGCAAACTAATTAATTTAGTTATTTCCCATTACACAGTATTTATAAAAGGCCTACTCATACGGGGGAGGGGGGGAACTAACCTTGTTTCTGCCCTTGTGTAGCTTATAGCCTAGAGTTCATGCTTTCTTTGGAATTTATAGAAACAGCCTTCATCTGAAAGCGTTATCATCAGCTATCTAATTTCAAGCTGTGTTTTCCTGTGTTCAATTCATAGCTGCCTGACCATTTCTAGATCCAACTCAGTACCACTGATGCCAGTAGATTGGAGCCTGTTGTGGATGTAGCCCATGTGGGAGCCTGAATTTACTATATAGGAGACCAAGTTACTGACCTCATAGTCTCTGTGGGTCCCCCACCAACTAAGAAGTGACTCTTCACTGCACCCCTCAGCACCTTGAGCAGGTGCAGGGAAGAAAATGCCTGTCATTTGGGAATGAGGAGCAGATGGACAGTGACTTATAGGTCAATCTTGAAATGAATGGTTGAGCTAAGATCCCATAAACAACCTGCTCGGAGCCTACTCAACCCCTTTCCCCAACACTTCATTTGCCTTGCTTTTTGTCACTGGAAAGAGAAAATAGCACTCAAAGCTATTATTCTATTAATATCCTTGTTAAGTGTCTCTTGTAAGGGCGATAGAGAAACCATGTGCCCCTTGTCTCCTTAGGGCACGGCACCTTCGTTTTTTACAAATTTCAGGAAGTCACACCCTACAAATGAAGTAACCAGCCCGTAAAAGAGTTAACAAGAGTACTTCAGTGGAACTGGACTCAATAGTGTAGGAATTCATAGCGTCGCATAAGGAATTATTAAAACAAGGGAGCAGCAACAATTTCCTTCAAGATCAGGCCTAAGTAGAGCAATGGTTCTTAATCTTGGGGGCTCTTGGATGTATTTGTAAATCGGATGAATGTTATGAAGCCTTTGGCGGGAAGATACACACACATGCATATACAGTTTTTCATACAGTTTCAGAGTTGCTGTGGGCCTCTTGGGATACTAATGGAGTAACTAATGGCAATGAAGCATAGTAATATCCTAAACAAATATAGACTTATGAGTGATCCTTCTGTTTAGTGGCCAAAATAATTAGCTTTTTTCACTTAAAAACTAAAAACCAGAGTTCCTATAAAACCATAATTAGTTTAAGTGGCCTCCTCTATCGTAGTTGTTCTGTGGGCTGGCAGCATGGCATGATGGGAAGAAAGGTCTAGAGTCAGACAGACATAGATTGAAGTATTAACTGCCATTTACAAGCTGTCTCCAGGCCCCTTCTGAGCCTCAGTTTCCCCCATCTGCATAGCATAGCCAATAATACCTACTTTTCAAGATTCTTGGAAATATTTGAAGAAATAACTCACTTGTGCATTCTTCAAACACTTACTGATCACCTAATGTGTGCCTTGCAGTATACTGGGCACTCAGGAAATAAAGATGAAAAAATCCCTCTGCTCAAAGAGTCTTTGGGCTTTGTGTTTACAGGGCACACATAGCAGGTGCTTTGTAAATGTTAGGTTTCCCCGGTGGTGAGCTTTATCACTCAGTGGAAGTGGAGGGATGGGTGATGTGTTCGTTCATGTGGGTGGTGGAGGGGGGAACGGATGACATCACGGACTTACGGTGACATCCGTGCCGCTGTTAGAGTCCGAGGTTCAGTGTTTTGTATTCCTTGTCCCCAACACAGACACGTTAACCAATTCCTTCGTGTTTCTTTCTCTCCCTCCTTACACTGCCTCTAAGGGGAATGCCTGTGCTATGAAGGCTACATGAAGGATCCAGTACACAAGCATCTTTGCATTCGGAATGAATGGGGGACCAACCAGGGGTAAGTGAGGGGATGGCACCGCTGCTAGTCCCCAGATGTCATCACTCTGTCACACAGGCCTGACGTGCAGCCACCACGTGTAGGGAGACAGAGCTGAAGGGTGGTTACGTCCTGCACAGCGCATGGGGAGAATGTCACGGTGCATTTCCATATGTATACCATCCCAGTGACGTCCCTTTCAGCTTTTCCTCCGCTGACAAGTGCAGAGATGACGCCTCTGCCTCGCAGCCCTCCAGCTGGGGTGGGAAAGCCAAGCTGTCCCTCTCTTCCGAGTCGCGGCACTGCCCGCCACGGGGACGCCACTGGCAGAACGTGGCTGTGGAGCCACGCAGGCTCCCGTGCAGCTCTCCCAGGGATGCCAGGCTTTGTGAGACTCACATGAGTGGAAACTTGCTTTCATGGGGACTGTCAGCAGGGGTGAATTGCAAAGACTCAGGGTGTGCTTGGTGTTGAGTAAGAGTATATATATATATATATTTTTTTTTTGCCTGATCCCCAATTACCAATTCTCTGTGAGACCTTTGCTTTCCCCTAAGCATGTGTGTCTGGGATTTAAAAAGTTACCTTATCTAATTGCTGCTTTATTTTTTTCTTTTTTGGTCTATGAATTTNCTTTTTGGTCTATGAATTTTTTGTGTGATGTGCATAGTATCAATTATATCATTTTAACCATTTTTAAGTGTACAACTCAATGGCGTCCCGTGCATTCCTGTTGTAGCGCAGCGATCGCCACTGCCATCTTCTGTCGCTGTGTCAAACACCTCTGTGCTTTGTTTCGGGTGCCGAGAGCTTGCTGCCTGCGTTGGCTGGGCTGCGGAGGAGAGGGGAAGGAGAAAGGGCTCCATAAACACCAACTCGTAATCGCAGTCAGTGGGACAGGGAAAACTAGAAATCAAGGCAGAAGCCACCTGAGAGTGCTTGCTGAGTGCGGACTAGGGACGTGGGTGCGGCCTGACACGGTGGAAGAGGGAGCCACCGGCCTTTCGCTCCTTGTCGTGGGGACTCGGCCCCCACGGCGTGCTTCTGATGGGACCCAGCCTAGAATATTGAATGTAGTTCTGGACTCGCAGAGCGATAAATATGGAGACAAATGGGTGAGAGTTTGGAGAAGAGCAATAAAAATGATTGAAGAGCCCAGGGGAGTGATTGATGACGAAGGGAGAGAACTCAACTCGCAGAACTTGGCCAGCTGATGACTAAGTCCGGGCATGACAGATGCCCGTAGACATTAGGAGAGGGCCGATGTTCTGGAACGGGTGGGGGCTGAGGGACAGGGACAGCGGAGAGTGAAGGTAGAGGAAGGAAACCGGAGTCACGGGTCAGGAAACGCGGGGGAGTCGGGTGCCCTGCAATTCTTCTGTTAGCGAAGATGAAGGCTTGCTCGTTCCCGCTGAGCCGGAGGTGGCGTCAGAGAGGCAGCCCGCGAAATAATGTGGGCAGGAGGGTTGATGCCGAGGAGCTGGCTGCTTGTAGAAAGGATCGGCCGGGAGGGCAGAGGACCCGGCTCGCAGATGTCACTTAGGGTCTGAGTAAGAGGGTCCCTTGCTCTCTGCCCCCTGAAATAGTCGCGTAGTTTCTGGGGAGCCAGGCTCTTTGCTTGGGTGAGGGCTGAGGATCTCGGCTGGCGATGATTCTTGTTGAGTAAAAATATTGTAAAGGGTGATGGATAACCGGCTATCTCTTAGCCTGCAAACTTCTTGCTGAAGGAAACAATGACAAAATATCATTTCGCCTCTTGCCCTGAGTGATCCACCACGCTGGCTCTCTGCGGTGATTGGATTTGGTGGCTAATGGCTCAGGCCTCCACATCCCCTGCCTGATAGACAGATCATGCGACGACGGGCCTGACTTCACTTGGTAATTGCACCGGGCCTCGTCGTTCCCTCTGGCCGTGTGTAGAGACAGTCTTAGGATGCAGACAGGAGCCTCCAGGGAACGGTGGAGGCCCCACGTTAGTGTCATTTAAAATCAGACAGGCTAAAGCACTGAGTTACTGACTGACAGGAACATTAGCCCCAGGAAACAGACAAGGAGACCTAATCTGTCATTTCCATCTCTAATTTCCATTATTCTCTGATCATCACTGTCTACGAGGTCTCATTTTGGACACTAATAAAATAATGGAGCAACTGTTAGAAGGGGGGGGGAAGAAGTGACTATCTTGAGGATAATGGAACCAGGAGTGATAAGCAGCATGAGTTTATATGTATATAAAATAGTGCCAGACAGATGACTGCATTTTCCTCATAAAAATGACAAGATAAATGAAAAGTGGAAGATGTCGTACATCTTTATTTAAATCCGAGATCCGATGCCACGCTTCCCTAAATGATTCTTACAAAATTAATCTAAATTGACTTGAAGGTGAAGATTGTCACCTGAATTGGTAACTGCCTGGCAGATGGCCAACTAATGATACGTATTGGGGCATTATGGGAAAATCAGGGGTCGGCCTCATTTTCCTGAGTGTTTTATTTAATGTTCCAGAAGGTGCAGGTAAGCATCACGTGGGAGTATTTATGTTTGCACTTAGTAGCCTCGTCCTGCATACATTAAAACGGCTGAGCATTCTTTTGAAGTAGAGCAGGCGGATCCTAGGCCACTAATAGTTCGAAGGAATGCCTTTGGGAAAGACCTAGGTTAATGTACCTGGAGACAGGTAGCAATAAGCATTCATGACTTTCAGACACGGGAGGAAGTTGATCAGGGACACTAACACGAAAAATTACAGATGGATGATTCTGTGCGGCAGAGGGGTTACACCTTCATCCAGCCTCTGCCTCGTGCTCGGTTTACCTGGACCCGCCCGTGGGGCTGTGTGGTGTGTGCATGTGTGCACATACCCTGGGTTGTTAATAGAAATCCTCTTACCAGTACACACCATTTATTCTCTCCCTTGTTCATGTTTTTCACACATATTCTCTCCATTACCTACTGTGGCCAGGTAAGCGAGGCTGCTAATTGTAAGAAGAAAGATTTGGTATCTGCTGTGGAAGAACTAGTATCTAGACAGATAAATGGGCACATAACAAAAAAATTATAGCAAATTCTAAGAACTATTAAAGATGTAAGCAGAGGTCTGTGAGGTTACAGTTTAAGGGGTGACTTACGTAATATCAAAGAATCTGGACTGGGGCTTCATGGAGAAGCTAGATTCAAGGTCTTCTACTTAATGGCAATAAGGGTAATGCTAAACCAAGGGGACAGCCTGTGTCAAGGCATGGAGACAGAAGCAGCGTGGTTTTCCAGGAATGGAAATAAATAGCTCAGTGCACATTAAGAATGCAGTGACAGAGACAGAGGCTGAGCAGGTGGGGAAAGACTAGATCTCCACAGGCTCTTGCTCCTGGACGTTGGGGCTCCAGGCATGTGTCTCCAGAACTGTTAGCAGGACGGAGAAGTTCCAGGGTGTCTGTATATTTGGTGGGATATTCCCTTACCTTATATTTCTGAACCCCTCAAAATAATATAAGATAATCCTAAAAAGAAAACAAAAACACAACAAAAACTCACAAAACCTCTTGAGACTATCTACATTTTTATGGATCTGGAGTCTATAAGTAAAGCATAGTCCTGAAGTTATCCTGTGGATGAGAGTTTTCAAGACCAAACAGCAAAGAATGACAGAGAATTGGGGACCATACGTACAAGGCGTGTGAATCAAGGGGATTGCAGCCATTTTTCGCTGACGCTGGTTCTTCCAAAAATGGCCAAGGAGAAGCGAGGCGGGTGAGGCATCGGTTGTGGATCTGAGTGGGGAGGTCAGTCACTGTAGCTCACCCAGGTGACAGGCTCCAGGTGGCAGATTGTAAAGTCACTGAACTCTTTGCACAAGAAGCTCCTATTCACTAAAAGAGAACCTAGCTTCAGAAAGATGTAACACAGTCATGGGCGACAGATTTCTCATGAGTTATTAAAAGAATATGCATGTTTGAGGTTACATCCTGGGTCTTTGAGATTGGCAACAAAATTATTCCCTGCCACAGCCGCCCTGGGACTCTGTTGCCCAGCAGAGGGCCCGGGATAGAAGGGTCCTACCCCGGCCTGGGCTTTGCCACGTCTCTGTCTAACCTGCATGAATCCGCCGAACAGCACCTCGACCTCCCACCTCCGAAGCTGCACACACACAGCCAGGCTCTGTTAGGGTCTGTTTGATATTTGTTTCCTAGAGCAACAAGGAAACAAATTGAAAATTTTCACAGATGAGAAATGAAAACAATAAATGAGGGTGGAGGAGGCAAGAAAGATTGATTTACATGGAGATATTCAAGGAGGAAAAACAAATTTATTTAGTTACTTTAGAGAATATTAAGAAAGGCTATAATAGTGGGTTTTTTTGTTAAATTAAAAGTATACCCAAGGGCCTCTAGATACATTTTCCAGAACACCAGTATTAGATTAAATTCATGCATGTGAAGATTCCCGGTAAATAATAGTCTGATTTCTTATTCTGGCATCTCAGAGACAGAGGGCAGCTCCAAGGAGATTCCGCTCTAGAGACCTATCACATATCACTCGATTTCAGCGCTGAAGGATGGTGATAGAGCAGTAACTCATGAGGTGGGGAGGGACCCGCTGTGGAAAATGAACGGGCGTTTCTCCAAGGTGTTGGAAACGGATGTCAGGAATGGCCCCGCTCATCAGGACACCTCCTCCTCACACCCCCCCTGCTTGGGAGTTAACACACTTACCACGACGTCTCTAAATTAGTGCACATCGCATGCATGCACGCATAATGCACACACATGCACACACGTGCACACATTTACACATGCACAGCCCACGCTGCCTTAATACATCCTCCCCGTTGTCCCAGGTTCCCGTCATTCTGCCCTGTTTCTGCAGCTGCTCCCTGCTGCTCACAGGCCCAGGAGGGACTGCGGAGGGATTCTAACAGTGTACGGAGCCCATGTCCCCCACCATAGAATTCACTTTCCCCGTCCACCCCAGTACAAGGATGGCATTTGTCACGCTTGGCCTGGGTCTCTCTGTCTTGCTTA